TGGTAAAATCTTGTTCAGAGAGGATTCCACGGTTCGAACTGGTGGTACTACCTTTGCCGTCTTCATCGTAAACTGCTTCTCAGCATCTTATCTTCTCTTTGTTCATCTTCCCTCCCGCACATGTTATTGGAACACGAAACATGGGAGCCGTGTATATGAGATTCTTCTGGTTATTCTGGTGTTCATCCAAGCTGGATTATTCATCAAAACACTCTTGGATATCACTGATCATGAGCATACTCAAACTTTTTCTCTTGTTCATTTCTGCTATTCATTGATTTGCGCCTCAAGTACCGCTGACATTTTGGCTATTTTAATGGGAAGACTCGAGGAGAAGAGGTAAGCGAGTCAGTTGACTAGTAAATGCGCTCTGTTGGTCGGAGCATGTCAGAGCTAAAATATTTCGATGGACTCCTACGAAAAAAGTATAATTTGCACGGAACTTTAAAACAACGCGAAAAAAAACCTCAAGCAACAAAAACATTAACAGCGAAACTTTTCAGCATTACCTCATTTACCTGAAAAGCACATTATGAGTCGATGTACTATTGAGTACGCAAACACTAGAAACTAAACAAACCTCTGACTTTAACAGAATGGATTTTTTTTCAGCAAGAAATCTCAAAAAATTGGCTGTGGTATCGAATTGGAAGAGGCTGGTTCATCATCCGCGGTTCTCATGCCTCCCGCATTCACTTATGCTCCATAAACATCGAATTACCTCTCATCAATTACTTTTTTTTTAGACAATCGAATGCTTTAATAAATTTATCTTTATTGCTCGATGTTTTTTGAATTTTTGACTATTGTTTCTGGTAGACCCCATTTATGATATTTATACTGTCCGATACATGTTACAGAACATATACTAATGAACTCTTAATGCTAGAATTCGGTTTTTTTGTGTTTTCATGCCAAGTTTTCTGGTGCAACTCTATATAATTTTCATACCAATCGACAGAGAATCTTGTGCTCTATCGATTGATAGGAAATTCAAATTTGATCAACTTTTTGATGCAAAGTTTGATATTAAGGTTTTGATGAAATTATCATGTTTCAAAAATGTAAGTTCTGCAGATATCAATCATGACTAATGTCATGACTACTCATGCTAATTAAAATTTTTCAGTTCAATTCACCAACCAACTCTCAAAAATCAGCTGACAGCATTTTTTTCTCCAATCCAGTTGATTATTTCCAGTAAACAACCGATTTTGTTCGAGCAATCCGGATTATCTCTCTTCTGATTTCATAGTCAAAGCTCTCAATTCCCCAAACTACACATACACTTTTCCCTATCACAAATCACTCAACCATTTTGTGTCACATGCTTTTTTTTCCAAAAATTCGAAACGAAATCTCAAGCGACACGTGATCAGCAACAACTCAACCGGAAATACGCCTCCCCCTTCCCCTCCTTCATCTGCTGCTCAAACACCCAAATTCATTTCCTTTTATTCTACTTCTTTATCAGACTCTCTCTTCAACAGCAACATGTGGAATAATCTGGATTATTGGACTGGCACCAATGTCGGCTGGTGTATTCCAATTGGGCCGAAGATGGTCCCCATCACTCTGCAACACTTTCATAAGCAACGTGAGTAAGGGGTCGGGGCTTTGAGGGGTTCAAATAAGTATGAACTTTAAAGGCGCACGCATCTAGAATATATCGTATTTCGGTCAATTTTGTGAATTTGCAAATTTCGAAAACAGATTCGGAATCAGCACAAAAAGCGTGTTCGAATGAGTATAAACAAGGATAGGTTCTGAAAAGTTTAATTTTTGACCATAAAGGAGGACGGAACTCAGAAAAATAATTTCTCTGAAATTACAAACATAAGTACCTCTGGTGGGTTCGAACCCGGGTTCAGTCTGACAGATCACCAAAAGCGTTGCCGGCTGAGCTATCCAGCCCGGAAAGCGCGACGACTCTGCTTGCATACAAGCGCCGGGACATATTTTAGTCTCAATACGAGTTCCAATACAACGAGAGCTCTCACTTTCTTTAAATGCGCATGCCTAAAATCCACAATATCTCGGCCAATTTTGTGATTTCGCAAATTTTGAAAACAGATTCGGAATCAGCGAAAATTTCCGTTTCAAATGAGTATAAACAAGGCTAGGTTCTGAAACATTTCAGTTTTCACTTTAAAACGTGTTCTCCCAGGAACTCGAGCAGAAGCCTCTTGACACCTGTACAGAAATTTCAGAACGGTACGTTTCAAATGGTTTTCTATATGATGGATACCTAAACTCTCCTAAATACTTTCATATACTTTTTGGCTCGCCCCGCCCCCTTGCTTTCTAGAAAATTCGAAAAATCGGTATTTTGGAAAAAAATTTCCTGAATGAGATATCAACGAGATCTAATCGGATATCGATTACTGGTATCATTTTGACAATTTTTTGTGTTTAGAACGAAATTCCAACTACCCGTCTTCCTACCTAAATTTCACGATTTTGTTGATTTTTTCGGTTTTTTCTTGAAAATTCACTTTTTCTGGGCTTGGGACCATACTGTCTGACCCAAATGAGTTCAGAATATGAATCTACACGCAATTTGGGTACGGACCCGCAACACTTGCCGCCGAATCAGGGGGACCTAGTCGGTCATATATAGCAAAGTATAGAATATTTCTCTGAAAATCAACGTATACCTGAAAACACGTATACATGAAAAAAATGTTGAAGTCAGGGATTTTGATAATATTTATGTTTTGGGTAGTCCAAGTCAACAGTAACCCACACCCGAAGTACCAGACCCCCACACACCTCCTGAACCATACGGCAGAATGCCGAAAAATTGTACCTATCGAAACATTCGATTAGTCATAACTTCCTTCTTTTTCAACCGATTTGGCCAGCTTTTTGGCCATTCGAAAAGGGTTGCCCCGGAGTACAAAAAAGTCAATTGGAGGATGTTTGTTCCATCTATTATCAAAGAGTAGAGTGCATGAATGAAGAAGTACATTGTACTCCTTAAAATACTCGCTCGGTTGAAAAACCTGAGAACATGCTCCAA